TTAACACGCGAGCTCCGTCACATCAAGAATGCAGGGTGGGCGGAGAAGACGGGGAAGATGGAATGCCAAGCCGAACGCTGCTAACATAAAGAATTCTTTGACTACATGAAGGCGCTGTACGGGCCCACATTGCAGCCGCTGAGGAGGATGCTCGATCCTATTTCAGGCGCTGTCTAAACACAGACTGCAGAAATAATGTAGATCTGGCGAACGCACATTGATTGTCATCTGAACGACCCTTGAGAGGTTGACTGGACTGTGTTGCACAGGCTGCAACAACAAGATTATGTGTCCTGCCGACACGCCGACACTGGATGAGACGCGGAGAGCTCTTGCTCAGCTGTAAAAACGCGGGTGCGCCGGAGCCGACTTGATACCGCTTGAAGTGTTGAAACACGGCGGAGCCATGTTGGTAAATGCGATACACTACTTGGTGCAACGCGCGCGGAGTGAAGAGAAAATGTCAGGTATCCTGAAGAATACCATTGTGCTACCACAGTACAAGGGCTAAGGAGAAAGCAATGTGCCACGAATTATCGTGGTATCAAGTTGCTGTTGTGTGGGCAAGGTGATTGTCTGAATCCTGCTGAACCACCTCGTCAGTCAAGTCGATGAACCGCAAGTAGCGAAAGAGAAATGTGGATTCCTTTAGAGCCGCAGCACCTTAGGTTTGGTGTTCGCGACTCCTTAATTGCAAGAGAAGTGCAGAGAGTGACACCGACCACTGCACCAGCTGTTTGTAAACCTTACCAAAGCATCTGATACGGTGAACCGAGAGACACTGTGGTTGGTGTTGGGTAAGTTTGGTTGTCCGAGTAAGTTTATAAGTCATATTAAATGCCCGCACAGTGGTATGCGGGCGATGATGCAGCTACGTGGAAAACTTCGGATGACTTTGATTTTGCCTCCGGCGTGAAGCTCCTGACCTGTTTTATATTTGCCTAAATGCTATGCCGTCGTGTGCTTTTGACGCCTGTTATTACGGTGTCCGTGTGGTGGGTAGCTGAACATCCGTCGTTTCGCAGCGAGAACCCGAGTGTGTGAGATCACTATCCGTATGTCGCTGTTTGCCGACAACCGCGCGTTAGTTGCACACAGCGAGGAGGAGTTGCAAAGTATGACGACGGCTCTTGCTTCGACAGAGACCAAGTTCGGACTAACCAACGAAACTGTTTGCTTTTTTTAGCCTTCACCAGGAATGAGGTCCATAGGCTTGCCGCAAATCCAGCTTGGTATTGACGTTTTGGAAACCACATCGAGCTTCTATTACCTTAGGAGCGTAGTTTCTACCGCCTTGATGATGAGCGAGTTGCGAATCCGCATATCGAAGGCTGCTGCTGCATTTGACAAGCTGGAAAATCGTGTGTAGTAGAATCAGTAGCAGCTGACTACTGGGACGAAGCTGTCGGTGTACCGGTCGATGGTGCTGTCGGTTATCCTCTACGGCAGGAAAATGTGGACGCTTTAACAGAAAGACATCCGATACTTGGAGCGCTTTGAACAGCGCCTGCGTCGGACTCTGCGCATCCGTTAGTGTGACAGAACTGCAGACACGGGAGTGATCCGCCGCACTGTCGTATGTGCAGTAGACTGCATCCTTTGGAGGCGACAGCTCAGGTGGATCGGACATGTCCGCCAACTGAATTTCACGAGGATACCGAAGCAGCTGCTATATGGCCAACTGCGTGCAGGGAAGGAGAACGTGAAAAACCCGAGGATACGTTATCAGGCTACAAGCAAGGAGAGTTTATTACGAACTGTTGCTGACTTTAGGCGTTGTGAAGCAAAGGCAGTGGATCGGCGCCATTGGCAGTTAAGCAAAAAAGGACGGTTGCATGCGGAAAAAACCGCATGTCACGGAAGCGCTAGGTGCCGACAGAGACTTGGCAATCGACGGCAAGTGCATGGTGATGCAGCACATGCGATTGCGAGTGCCTCAGCCAAGTCGGTCTGGTAAACCACCGGCGTGGCCAAGATTTGCCAGGTGACGAGTTAGCTAAATAGGTAAACATTATCAGCTGCCCATCTTTGCTGAGCAGCTATACGGTCATCGTGATTGTACTGAGCTCCAAGAGTGGTTCCATATCATGTGGAGCGGACTACGGCCCAGTCACGCATGAGTTCTCAATTACAGTGACAGGAATATTGCTGCCGCTGTGCATGTTGAAGGAGTGTGGGCCGGCTCCTTAGATGAAACGTGGCTCCCACCCACATACCTCCCGGTCTTATTCCTTCGCGTTTACACTGGATATGGATGGAGCAATGGGTAGTGCAGCAGAAGCCATCCATGGTCCCTCTTTAGCCACAGGAATCCTGTGGTTGTCCTCATGGAGGCTGCAATGACAGACAAATCCTGAGCCGGATGCTGCAAACTATATTCATACATATTTTCAGTTGTGTGTCCATTTCCCCAAGTAATTGCGCTGTGAAGTCAACGTTCGCAAGCATTTATAGCACTCTTTAGTGAGGCGGGAGAAGCATGTATTGTCTCGCAAGAGTCCTACAGATATGCCCGGAGGCATGATCTGAGTGGGTATAAATACAACGAAGTTTCGCAAAGCGTGCAACTTTTACGCCATTTCATAATGAACTTAGTCCACAGTGCATGTATAACGAATACAAACATCTTAAACAGAAAGAGGCAAACTGGAGGAACGCTGGTCGTGCAACCCACATTCATCGGCTTCATCAGCTACCCATTACCATGATTGGTGGCATTCGGTTCTGTATTTGCCTGTCACTGTGGATGCCACGGGGACAGCCATAGTACGCCTGCGCCTTCAAAAAGACCATGGGTGGTTTATGCCGCATCACATACTCCTCTATCCACATACCCCATATCCAGTGTAAACCCGAAGGAGTAAGACAGGAAGACATGTGGATGGGAACACGTTTCATCAACGGAGTTAGCCCACACTCCTTCAAAATGCACAGCAGCAGCATTCCTGTCTACCCGATTTGGGAGCCCCGCGTACCAGACAAACACAAGGCGGTGGCTGAGCAGTAGTCCGCCCCATAATGATTGCACGGAACCACTATTTGAGCCTAGCACGGCCACGAGGACCGTGCACCCTGTCCCGTCAAGCAACGACCAACTGTCTCCTGGAGCCAGTAAAGATGAGATGGATGGCGTTACACAGGTAAACACATTGTTAACATTCGCAACAACCGCAGCTACAACGAGGATATTAAACAACCAAGATAGAATTTAAGGGAAAGCAAACATGCAAAATTGACAGAGAATATGCAGCAAAAGAACAGAACTGAACAAATCAAATAAAGTGGAATAACTTTTATCCAGTTTAGGAGGATCTAGTTTAAGTGTAAGTCGATGTAGCCCAACTGTGGTGAAGAAGCATGGTGTATGCAACATCAACAGAATGAGTTTATTAAATGCAGTTGAGTGGCACTCAATAGCAGATGAACGCGAGTTTTACCAAATAGGAAGGCGGATTTGGGGAAAAGGTGTTTATCCCCACAACATGCTGGATAAGCTTGTACGTTTGACCGGTTAACTTGAGTGAACTATTTAGAAAGCTGAACGTGGAAGTCACTTGGTTCAGTAGGCCCAATGAGTAAATGAAGAAGAAAGCGAAAATTTTAGCGTAAGGTGGCTATATACCTTAAGGTGTATCCACGGTGACGTTCTGAAGTAGACCTTCAACGACAAATTTCCAGCACCAGTTGTCCAGTTAGAAAGACCACAACTTATGAGTCCTCGTCTGTATAATTACTGATATGCCAAGTATCACATGGTCAATGCATGATGACAATAACTTGTGTAAACACCATTAGATTCCTTTCCAGTAGAACAGTTGCTAATTTCGGAGTGCTAAGCAAAGGATTAGTATTCAGAATCTTGCACTGCCCATAAGACAGCGGCATTTCACACCGATGCTTAACCACTATGGAAACCACGGGTGGTTAGATGCGTGGTGGGACACCACGTGAGTGCCCAGACTCACCTAGGATCAGGAAAGTGAACCTAGAGCGATCACTGCAAAAAGTAAAATAATTGTCAGAGCCATTCATCGAAGAGATGCTAACTTATTGGCCAGTGGCGCAGGAGCTGAGTGTGAGGCGGTGTTCGCATGCGATTGTGATTCGAGACGATGTATTCCACTTCAGCAATTCGCTCATTCGCGAATCCGGAGGTACATAACAACTGTCTCTACAAATTCCTGTCATTGCTTCTCTGTATTCGTCAAAAAATTTCACTCATCCTCTACGTTGCCGGTTGTATCACAGAGAAAGGATAAATTCCGGTAGTGAAGGTCGATAGAGAAAGCTCAATTCTGTTCGGTTAAATTAGATGAGTCGGCTATGCTCTGAACATCGAATGCAATGGGCCCGAGTTGAACGATCCGTAAAAAAGAAAAAAAACCGACGAACGGAGAGAAGAGCAAAGAAGGCATCAGCAGTATTGACGCTTCGCTGCGGCGCGACCACCACCACTCGTACGTGGGCTAAGGATGCTGCGACGGTCGCACGGTCCCTACACAGGCTCGAAACCGTGCCCTCGGATTACAAGATAGGCTTGTGATCCTTTAGGCTTCGGGTCAGCCAATCACAGCATTGAGCCAGACGGCGTGTGCCACCAGAAAGACATGGTAAGCAATCCGGTTTGAAATCTACTTGGCAAGTATCAGAGTGATGCCTGGCTACGCTCACAAGCACTGCTCGGACAGATGACCAAGCAAGTGGATAATTCCATTAGTTGAGAGCGAATAAAGGACGTTTGAATGTCAGTCGTGGTATCTTAGCTTGAGCAGCACAAACGAGGAGGATAAAAGGCATCCGCAGTAGGCCCGTATGCAGTACCGACGCTCCGCTGCCGCGCAATCACCACCGGTCGCACGTGGGCTAAGAATACTGCGAAGGTCGCCCTGCCCCTACGCAAGTTCGAACCCGCGCCGTCAGATTATAAGACAAGCTCGTTACCTTTAGGCTACGGGCTGGCATAAGGAGAAGGAAGGAAACAGTTGAGGTGTTCGACTCACTAGTGACTGGTGATCAGCTCCTGAAGATCCATAATCGTTTGCCATAAGCTCAGCGTGACGCATTTGGAGGGGGATTTCCGATTCCGGCAGAAAAGGGGTTTCCACGCGGCCGCCATCCAATTGTAGCACATTACGTTTGAGATCGATACAACACTGGTGACGCCTGAGCATGTCCAAACCGATCATCAAATCTAATTGCTGGTCCTTCAACACTATGAATGAGGTCTGCAAAGAGATAGATCGATGAGAGGAAAATGGCGCAAGCAGACTAGAGATGGTGAATGATATCACACAATGGTTAACAACTGTGTGGGGAAGTTGTGGGACGGTTAGAATTGTACATTGGACACGCTTCCAGTAATGAAAATAAGAGTAACATAATTTAAAGCAAACTTTGGTACCGTGCAGTGCACAATCCAAGCACATATCGTGTACTCCAGGTCTCAAGTGTCGCTGGTGCAGTCCGGCAGTATAACGTTCAAGGTGCAATCAGGTAAGGGTGGGTTAAATTTTTGGCTGCAACAGAGTAGGAACAACGATGAGACCGGTTGTCCAGAGAATGGTTAAAAAAGAGGACCCTGAAATACCTAGATTATTGACTCTATTAAACGATAGGCTGATATTTTAAGGCGGATATGGAAAACTGATGAACGTGTGTGCACTGTAGTCCCACTGCAATACCAAGTGTTCAGCTAGAGTGCTCCGAATGAATTGGTGGACGAACCAGATAGCTACAAAAAGGTGAACACTGGCATAGTATGAAGCATAGGCGCAGTTTACGCAGCCCAGTTGATTAGCTAGCGCACCTCGTAGTCTGTTTAACTAAATCATGGGAGGAACTTATAGGCTAAAAACGTCTTATTTATGGAAATGGACGGATAATATATATGCATCGAAGCGTCCTGTGAGTCAAAAGGGTTGTCGAACGTGTTTGTTGGCCTTTGCCGGGTGATTGATTGACTGAAATTCCGAAACATTGCATCAAAGGAAGACGTTTCAATGTCCTGAACCAATCGAAGTGGATTAAAAGCATATCATGAATTATTAGGAATGTGATGGATTTATTCGATCACCAAATAGGACGGTGTCGAGACATAGGACTGGTACTTCGCTACCACAAAGTTATAGATCAAGAGCTACGAGCCGGCTACAGCGCCGCAAAACAAGGATTACCTTATGCCTAATAGATGAGATCGTGGTTGGAGGGGGGAAGGGACAAAGAAACTCACAACACAAACGCCACGGAGGTCGATTCGTAGCCATATCAACAAGTGTATCTAGCCAGACGTGTTCATGATTCCTCGGTCCCCAACCAAGAAGCCGAGAGACTCTAACCGAGGCCCATTTCGAAGTAAGGACTTTCATTCCTCTTGACTAAGTCATTACTTGGCTACCCCACGTCTTCTTCCATCCGCACCCCCGGCGCGCAAACAACGCACGTCGCGGGAGTCGGTGGGCTGGCATGCGGAACACGTGGTCCAGCCACCGGAGCCTGGTGCGTGAAGTAACGGTGCTGAGCGGTTCGCTTCTTCTTCCTGCGTCATAAACAAGGCGTCGAAAGTGCTCATTGCTCTTACAGCGTTGTAACCAGATATGAGCCAAACTGTGAAGGCACCAGTGATCGAAGGTAACTAGCCTCTTTATGTCGGCTAATTTAATCGGCCAGATTTCACAACCATATAGCAGGGTCGAACATACAGCTGCATTGTACACTCTACCCGTCAAGGAGAGAGTGATGTCGCGCCGGCGCCATAGGTGGCGAAGGTTAGTAAAAACGCCTCGTGCTTTTGCTATCCGATTTGTGACCTCGTCTTTAATTCCAGCGGCCCTGATACAACTGCCTAGGCAATTGCAAGTTTGAACGAGTCCTAGCTGATCTCTAATTTGGGTCAACGCAGGAGGCGGTCCCTGCCAAAAGTAGAGAGCTCGGAGAATAACTGGACGTGCTCGAGACACGTATACGACGAGATGTGGTGCCAAGAATGTCATCTATCAGAAATAATACCGTCGTAATTCAGTTAGGGTTTATTCTGGAGAATCAAGTTTGACTGAAGACCAGATACACAGGTGAGGACTCTGGTAACCGTACTCGAAAGGAAACTGTGACAAGAACTGTTTCTTACCGCTAAAAATATACCTTCGATTTCCAGGTCTCCGTTGTGAACTCGTCCGATGATAGTTTGCGTCCCAACACCGTACGCCATACCGGACCAGCGTTTGTCGATCAAACGTTCTAAATTGCATCGCTTGGCACATTTCTCGCTCATAATCGTACTTTGAGCACCCGAATCGACGAACGCCTTGATTGGTTGACCGCCAACTTTGCAATTCACAAACAACATAGACACTTGGGCAAACGTTTCTGGATAATGCTCCAGCGCGCTCTCCATGTGCATGTCGATATTTTGTTGTCTGCAAGTAAGGGGAAAATAATGAGGAAAAACGGATTGGCGAGGTATTTCAGAATCCGACAATGAACAAATAAGAACCCACCAGCAAAAAGTTGTGAAAGCAAAGGCGCACGCGGAGATACACGGGTCATCACACTATAGGAGACAGATGCTGCCCACGCAAAGACATGAGGCAAGGCGTCAGCAGTATGCGGGTGCGTCTTACTGACGCCTCGTTGCCACGCGATAAATACCATGCGTGCGCAGGCTACCAATAATGCGAGGTCTCCAACACCTACCTACACTCGAACCGGTTACCTATCGGTTACTAAGTAGACGCTTCATCCCTCTGGCCACCAGCTAACACTAAGATATGGCAAAATGAACCAGTTGCTGCGAGACCAGTAAGCTAGCGAAGTGAAGTGTCGTGTATGTTGCGTAACAGGGTAGCAGCCGTAGTGACTAACTGTGGAAAAGAGCATGTTTTGTACCAATCCAGCTCATTCTGCAAACAGAGAAAGCTGAAGAAGTCGCAGAGGCCTGTGCGTTTGCTAAACGCATCACGCTGTATGTGAATAGAACTCTTTTAACCTGTCCAACCCATAGTGATGCACAGCTTAAAACGATGCACCGAAGAAGGATTGTGAGATAACTAAAACGTTGGTCGACTGGCTCTACTTAGTGTGCAGGAAGTGCTCAGATCACTGAGCAATCAGTCACCGGCTTTCAATGGGCGCGATTCCCTGAATTAGCCATGCTGCCTTTGACCAAAGACTCGGGATGAGGTCCCCTAAGTCAATTCCCTACTTTGGCTTGGGCTGGGTAGTATCATGTCTACTGACAAAAACGTGGACCGTTCTACACTGTGCTAATCTGCTGTCGTCTCTGCTTCCTGCATTCACAAGACTTCATTACACACTAATTGTTGGTGTATAAACTATCCCTGTTATCCGTTACCTAATTCCAGCATTCACGGATCTGACTGCAATCAGGACTGCATCGTGAACCATGGAGTTCAGCCAGTGTCCCTACTTCGACCCCGATCCTTGTTCTGTCTGGCGTTTCAACGTACGGACACTCTTGCAGATTGGCCAGCAAGCTGGACCAGTGAGCAACTTGATGTTGACTTCTGCTGCCTTTCCGAAAGCTGATTACAAGATCCCAGAACTGTGTTTACGCTGACATTCCCCACTAACCACGGAGCCACGTCACCTGTATCTTTCTGGTGATCCGGACGCAATCAGCTGCAATTCACATCAGGACATTAGGCAACACTGGACATGTCCACAGAAGTCAATAATCACTACCGGACAGACAAGCTGCGGAATAGCTCGACGCCATTTGAAATCTTAGATAATTACTCGCTCTCTGGAGCTGTTCTATTGCCGCAGATATCCCGTCAGAATAAGATTACAACGAGCGGCGCCGTTCTGTCAAATAGTAGCTTAAGCAAAGCTTACGGGGCTTGGTGATCTGAGAGTGCTTGAGAGTTCGTGACCGCTGCTCCCTCTGACAATACTCGTAAGCTTTTCGAAATTATTCGGTCTGCTGGCCTCAGGACGCATGGTGTCAGTGGGGTTATTCGCGAGACCGATAAGTCTCCAGTCACCAACCAGTAGACACGTTTGGACCGCCAGACCGAGCATATTCATTCGCAGCTCAAATGCCCTCCACTATCCATCGGTACATGCAGTACACCTTGTTGTCTCCTCTGATTCGTCCCACTAGATCCAACTAGCGAAGCGGAAGTCTGCTTCGAGATTTGACACTTGAAACGATTCAAGGCTACCGGCTCAGATGTATTTACTTCGGAACTGTTCAAGTACGGCGGCGTAGCAATCATTAACTAGTTGAACACATTCCCTAAAATCTAGAGTGAGGGGAAAGTGTATTCATCCTGGGGCGCATGTCACTGTTCTGGATTTCAAGGAAGGTATCCAACAACAAAAATAAAAGGTGCCACAAATCCTACAATTACCAGTTAATGTGTGCACACGCAGATCAAGGCTCCGCTAGTTAACAAAGGAACAATTAGAATGATATTTCAATTACTGCATGGAGAACTAGGAGGGATATTGGTGGATACTGGTGGATAACAAATATCGTCATTCACATGGTGCGGCAATACATAAGCCTGCGTGTGTCTTAGTCGGTCCATTTTGTAATTCATTAATATAGTCGCGAAGAAATTGTGTGACTAAAACACGCTGTTCTCAGCTTCATTTATGGTAACCTATATGGTGGGTGATTCGGCATATGCGAAACATCGTCGTCGTGTTGCCCTATGCTTGGAAATTATTCTCATATGGTGTCTACACTGATTGTGCTCAGTACGAAAGCTGGTAGTGTCCACCCAACCGAGATCACCAGCACGACTACTGGTCCTGGGCGATCGCAAATCACTGGTGGCGGAGATGAGTTCGAAGTGGTTTCAACAATAAACGGGTAACGGCGCAGCATTAGCCGTGTGCTTGCATCAGCGGATCTGCATCAGTGGATGAAAGACTGACACCTACACAGCATGGGTTAGATGCTTGCAAAATGTGCGTTTTGTCGTGGATTGGAAATACCGTCATTTTGATTCGCTTACCCATGGGTGATTGTATGCATCCTAGTCCGATTCCTTCGGATTTACAAAGACTATGATGGTATGTGGTTGGCGGGGTGCAGGCTACCTGGAAGCCCAGTACAGGTATCGGCGTTGTACAGCTCCTAAATCCCACACTACTAGGTGCATCGAAAAGCCTACGCTGTCAATGTTTCAGCTACCATACATTTGATACACGAGTGGGACGGTGCACCACAAGTCCGGGCGCAAAGGGGTGATGAATTAATTTAGTTACCAAGGCAAGAAATAACAAAGCAACATCAACATACCTGATCATATCAGCTATGCGACTTTGAGTAGCGGGGTCAAGGGGATCAGCATTGACGACCTCTTCCCATTCCCGACGCCTTTGTAGACGCTGAGCTCGCTGAGCTTCGAGCAAACGGGCGAAATCAACTGAAGGTTTTGTTGGAAAGACCACAGGAAGAAATGAAATATAGCCTACGGCAGCTGGAGTAATGTCAAGATGTGGCACATCACTGTGCTTTATCTTGTATTGTAGTAGAAAGTAAATGTTTGGTCGTGAGATAATGACAGAAAGCTCCAAATACCCTACAAATACCAGTGAGTGTGTGTGTACGCAGAGTAATGCTTCGTTAGTTAACAAAGGAACTAGTATAATGACATACCATAACTAAAAAGTCAAAGTAGAAAGTTAAAAGCGTGGCGAACCAAATTAGAGTAGTTAAATCAGTAAGTTGTTGACATGACTTATAGACCATATCTGACGATTATATATGTTCGGTGTTTCAGGTTTGCGAAATCGGACAGCCTGGAACACAAGACCCAGTCATATATCCTAGTCCTGCAGGCTAAATTATCAATTGAAGTCCACTATTTCGGATAGTATCAGGTTCCGTTTCTAAAAGGCAATCCGATGAAAGCATTTATGCTGTACAGTCGAACCAACGGCGTAGTCTTCGGGCTGAGAAAACACCAAGCTGACGGTTGATCTGGAGCAGTTGTCTCGCTCTTCACGATTCCTTGGTACGTGCCCGCCTAACGTCGCCCTCCCTGCACAACTAAGTGTTCAACTTCGAATGTGCTTCCTCGGCAAATGGTCTCATGATTTGCAAAGCGGTAATATTGGTCTGAACTCTGGTATCACCTGTCGTTGGGAAATGTGGAAGGACCAAATGTGGATCGCAATCGTCTCAAATGCGCCATGCAGAAGTGCTCATAGCTATTCATCCTTCCGGCTTGAGGTGCTTGAATAAAGGATGGAAATCTAAGGCCTTAACCTCGGCGTCAGTTAGGTACACATGATGGTTCTGTCGAGACATTGGGTACGAGATATTCGCTGCATTCTGAGACGTCGTTTATGAGTCTCAGAATAGAGCAGGTGGTTAGTGAAGAGCAGCGAGATGGCATTGGCAATAAGGGGGTATGGTTCCAATAAACTCGAATGACAATAAATGAAAAGAATAGACAACCGAAGCACTGGAACGCTGGGTTGAACAACTTGATAAGTAATCCGGTCATTGCGATGTATCGCAATTGCTAGTTGGGTTCTCTAAGCCCATCTTGGACATCAATAAGTTCCACCATTGATGAGATGCGACACGAGCCAACGCCAGTAAAACGGAACGAAGCGCTTTGTCCAGATAATCTTTTTATATCATTGCAGAAGGACGAGGTGGCTTGTTAACGACTGCCCTGGTTCGTGTGTTCGACACTGTTTGGTGTGCGGAGGAAATGCCTTCCGACTGGCGGTTATTGACCGTCAATCCCAAATGGAAAACTGCCGAAGAAAGACCCACAAAAATCCCTATGGTGTCAGCATAGTCTTAACCCCATCCAAAGTACTCGAGTGCATCGTGCTGTGGCGGTGCACTGGCCCTAGAAGGGGGAAGAATCAATACAAGTTAGACTGCATTTCGCTAAGGTAAAGTGTGTATCGACGAAATTCATACTCTTCGACAACCCAGTAAGGTTACCTCCCTTGACCTGAAAGCCATTTTGTTCTTGTTTGTCATTATGCCCATCTTTGGTGGGTCTAGGTAAAAGCTCTATGCCGTGACTACTGCGACCACGTAACTGTCCACTGTAAATTGCCTCCTGAGTTGACCAAAGCAAGTGGAATGCATTGGAGAAGCTTATTTCCCCATTTCTCTTCAATCCTGTGATCGAAATGATTACGAGTGACTCTCTCTTGTCGTCCTTCACCCAGCATGGAATAGATGTTCTGCTTGGTGACTGTTAAACTAGAGCACGGTTGTGGAAACCTCATGATTACACAAAAACTTCACACCAAGGGTCCTTTCCCAACCTCCGGCTCTGCCACTCGTTTGCCCTGTGGCGACTAATAAAATAATAATAAGGTGCTAGCTGTACGCCGTAACGGCGCTTCGCTGCCGCGCGACCATCACAAGTCGCGCGCGGGCTGTATACCGTGAGGACGCCCACCCCTACGCGGATTCGAACCGGGGACCTTATGGTTGCAAACCAAGTGGGCAGACCACTCGGCCACCGGCCGATCTGTGGTGATTACGCAGCACCTTATCGGTGACAACACCATCAGATGGAAATTACGTCCGTTCTGTTTCCAGAGACACTGTTGCCAGGTCGCTGACTGCGCGATCTTCTCAGTGACACCGTTATCGGGTGGTAATTTAGTCACGCTGACAAATGCCTTCAGATTAAGTGTGCTGTAAATATGGAGGTTAAAAAAGCAGTAGGGGAGTTGAATGGTGTAGGCAGAAATTTATCAAAACTAGACTCAGATAGACAGCCGTCACATGCCCGGGAAAGCAGTCGACGGCTGTTTCATCCATTCGGAAATCGTCAGCAGTTCGCATTCCATCTGACCCCCGTGGAGATCGGACCGGCGGCGCTATATCACATCTAGTAACTTAAACACTATGATCGCTGACGTTTCCCCTAGCTCGGTGGTTTCAACAACAGACTGGCAACCGTCGACTATCAGGTTTGAGCCTCACACGGGTCAGATGAAATGCGCACTACTGACAATTCCCAAAAGGATGAAAGGGATTTACAATGTTTTCCCATAACAAATTGAGTAGAAAAGATCGTTATATATCGCTAATAACTGATGGGGCCACCGAACGCGTAACGTTTATGTTGCCAGTTAGTGCTCGGTAAAGGACCCTGTGTTATAGTACTAGATCGACTTTCTTGTACGATCCGCCTAAGTAGGCATGGTCATGCCCACGTACCTTTGATAACCGCCAACCTCGGTACGTGTTGCGTCAGCACACTGCGAGCCACGATGTGTCAAAAGGAATAAGTGAATGAAGGATATCATTAAAATAGTACATATCGTCTTCCTAGATAGGGACCTCAAGACAGGTCACAGAAATGATGAGGGACGCTTTCCGATACAGTGCAGTGGTAAATTCAGAGTCACTCTTTCATTCCACAGGTTGCCTATGCGTGGTGACCAAAAGCTATTTAATGCCAATACTACTGAATGGTGATCAGAATTGTAACAATATGCTTCTCGTTCTAATTTCCGCAAACACGGTGATGTGGCAGAAGGTAAACTGAGTTCACTACATCCCAGTTCTTGAAATTTACTTGTTTAACTGAAATGAACTCCGTGGTTATAGTAGTTGCTGCGTACATTGCACATGAGTGCCATATGTTCGCAAGATAAGGGGCAACGGAGATTGGGGAGATCCAGCGAGGAATGATGTAGTCTCAAACCGAACCGCAACTCACGCTGAAGTGAACCTGATACTTTGGTAGCGTAGTGATGAGGGCTGCCGTCGGCAGCCTATACACCACGGTTATGAAGTGCAGTATTATAAATAGGGAAGACGATGAGTTTTCTCATAGACAGAGAGAAAGGAACCACCCGGAAACATTGCAAGAATAAACAAACACGAGTACTGTATACAGCGATTTGAATATCCCTCACTAGACGGAACGAACTTACCTGAATTATTAATTGTCGACGCTAGCTCTGGGTTTGCTGCTGATAAAGCGGAACGTAGTTCCGGGTTGTTCAGCAAGGCTTGTCGCATTACTTCTGCATTCACATTGGGGATGTCTAGAATGTTGTTTTGTGGCAGCTCCGTAGATGGAAAACCTAGTCCAGCGATGTCCGAAGCAACCTAGAACAGCAAAGTATCACAAGTGTGATAGCCTTACCTGGGGAGTGGTATTTCGTTGAGCACTAGGTTGGAATAAACTCTGACCTTGTTGTATTGACTGAAGAAGTATGACGAGATCACCGTCCTTGAAACCGATTGCCCCCAGCTGGGCGTCAGGATCCGTTAGAAACTGACCGTCTTTCATCATGACAAATTGGTCTTCAGACGTGCCACACTCAAGGCTAATGAGCATCTTTAATCCGGAGACCAAAGTTTCGTTCAAAACGTCTAGAGCGAAAACATCACCATCCAAAGGGGTCACTGATATTCGCATCGTAATGGACAATTAGTTATCCTGGAAACAGGTTATCTAAAACATAAGTACTATTCGGTTGAGGGAAAGGAACCCGAGCAATTAGACCCAGCGATAATATACAGTTGAATGAATTTTTTCTATTGGACCTATGACAAAAGGGCTGTGGGTAAACAAAAATGATGGCAAAATCAACATCACACAACACAGAGCGCGATATGAACCGAAGTCCGTGGAGAGTAAAAATGACTAACATATTCCAACTCTTGACAGAACACTTGATTGCTGAGTGATAAGTAGTAAGAAATTGTAAAGTCATCGTAAGCATGCCAGCCCACCGATTCCTGCAGCTTGGGCTGTTTGCGCGCCGGGGGTGCGGATGGAAGAATAGAAGAGGTGGCCAAGCGATTAGTTGGTCAAGAGGAATGAAGGCCCTTACTTAGAAGTTGACCTCAGTTTGAGCCCTTATGCCCTCTGGTTGGGGTCCGAAAGACGATGAACACGTTTGGCTGGATACATGTATTGATATGGCTACGAACGTTTCCTAGGCACAATGTGACTTTCTGCGGTTGACAGGTCCCTGAAACGATGCCTATAAGTTGTTGGTGGCTCAGCTGAAGTGTCGCTGTTGTATGTTTTTTGCTTCTTTTCTTATGTACTGCGGTACAAAAGCTAAGGTGTTTCCCACCTCTAGCTAAGGTGTATAATAAAGATGATGGATGAAAATTGGCAAACGCAACCTACCAAATCTGTGCGAGTGACCAATAGGTGTACACAGGAATAACTGTTGGAGCACTCTCAGTGATGAGTTCGTGTGCCTTTGGTCGTATTAGTGAAACAAACTTCAGGCATAGATCAGTTACTCGAAAAAAATTCCAAGGTAGCGTTAGCATATGCAGTGAACGCATTTTTTCTAGTCGCAAATACGATCTGTCCTCTGTCTAAATAGATTCTAAAAGCGTCAAAATGCGGTAGTCCATACATAAGTCTATGCTCGAAGTGTTTAAGTGACCGACAGGTGGTAGAAAATTATCTCAACCAAACGGTCAAGGACACACAAATCGGTCACTCAGCTGCAGTCTATCGGTGGCTAGAACTGACTGGATACACGATCGTATTATAAAGAAACGTTTAACAGGTTATGGCCGGTGGCGCTAACGAGGTAGTAAAGTATCTAATGTTATATATAGACACTCTTTTTGTTTTCTTTATGCTTTTACAGGTGACCAGAAACACTCAAAAATGGGATGTATGGCCGTCCATCTGTGCCGACAGGTTATGCTCTTAACTATCGAATCAGAGGTACATCACAATAATGGTGTTTGAGAAAGCACAGCTGAGTGATGAACCTACCGAAATTCGCAAAATACTTGTACCTAATGTGACAATAAATATGAAAATTAACCACATACCAACAGCAATCTCGAAAATTAAAAACACGTCAGAGATCAATTAGAGAATAGAAGCCATTTAAGCATCCCATCGACTGGATACCATTAGGCAGTAAGCGGGTACGGAATAAATGGACTGTGATTATTCGAAAAGGAGACATGGGTACTAAACACGTAACAACATAGAGGCGACAAGAATTACCAAAGGTGCTAAATTAGATATTTGGTCGCTTTAGGTAGTCTAAATTCATAGTGTCAAGAGCACGCGTGGCGGCAGAGATTTCAATCTACTAGTAGCAAACGATTTCAGAGCCAGAAAGCATGGTAATCTAGAGGGCTACAACATCTTAGTCTTCGGTCCATGGAGCCAAGTGATGAGTCCTCGAAAAGTCAAGCAGAAGCGGTAAATCATAATTGCAGTTCAGTTGAACAAGCATGATTCGAGCACCGATGTGAGGTGGATCCAATTGCCATAACTCACATCGCAAGAATAACAATAAATAACAAAGCCAAAAAGGTTGGAGTTGAATTCAAATAGAATGTATAGAAAAAGGAAGCAAGAATAAAGTGTGTTAAACTAATCAGAATGGAAGGAAAAGTAAAAACCAGATGCAGGAAACCGGATGCAGGTACGCCACTGAGTGTGTGACTGCGCCATGTCTGAAACGGTCTCCAAACACTCGTGTGGACCATTCCGAAACCCCCATCCACGAAGACGGCACGCCCCAATCTGACAAAGTTTCAGTCTGTTTCTTCAGGCCCCTATGACATGTCATGGACTGGCCACCTCACGGTTTCGCCTAACTTCGTTCAGCCACGGTGTAGAAGGTAACCCATAAGGACAATCGAAAACGAGGGGTTCCTTATCGATATATATATATATATATATATATATATATATATATGTATATATATATATATATGTGAATGGCTGTTGTTTGATATCCCCGTTGTGGTTGCGCTTGATGTGTATGTTGACAAGGTGCCTACCTGTCTATTACCCACCACATCGTTCATACTGGCTCCAGGAGACAGTTGGTCGTTGCTGGAGGGGACGGGGTGCACGGTTCTTGTGGCCGTGCTAGGCTCAAAGAGCGGTTCCATGCACTCAGTGTGGAGCGGACTACGGTCCAGCCACCGCCTTGTGTGCGCTTGATTCCCCAAATACAGCGTGCTTGTGTTTGCCTGTGAAGGAGTGTGGGCCGGCTCCGTTGATGAAACGTGGTTCCCATCCGCATGCCTCCCGGTCTTATTCCTTCGGGTTTACACTGGATATGGGGTATGTGGTTGGAGTTGTGGGTGGTGCAGCGAAAGCCATCCATGGTCCCTCTGTAGGCGCCGGCGTCCTGTGGCTTGCCACAGTGACAGGCAAATCCGAAACCGGATGCCGCCAACGATGTATGAGTATCATCTCGAACCGTATCATATCCACATTGAGCTTTGCGGAAGTTGGCATAAAAGCGAAAATTAGTATCACAGATTGTTCTGGTGACAGTCACACAGTCCACTGAGCTTGGCAAGTTTTTTTTGCCATCGTTTCTTTACCAAGCCTGACTAGGCTGAAGCTGATCAAGCTCAACCTGTCATGGACTCTCCCGTATGCATATATATATATATATATATATATATATATATATATATATATATATATATATATATATGCCCCATGCTGAGGCTGATGTTGCATTCTTGATGCTTCTTCACCGCAGTTGGGCTAAACCAACTTACACTTAAACTAGGACTTTTTCAGCTGGATAAATTTCATTCCGCTTTATTTGGTTTGTTCTGCCTCCCTGAATAATGTTCTATTAACTGGCCACGTTGCTTACACTAATTGCGCTTATCTTCGGTAATTTTGTTGCGTTTGTAGCATTCTAAGTAACTTGTGGACATTTCTTACTTATCACGGATTTGTTGCTGACCAACTTACTTCATATGGTAATTTAGCGAAGAGTTATGCCACCGTATCTGTATGCATTATTGGATTTATTTAATTTCAGCTTGTCGTTTAAATTGAATGGCTGTAGTTTGATATCCCTGGTATGGTTGCGCTTGATGTGTATGTTGACAAGGTGCCTACCTGTCTATTACCCACCACATCGTTCATACTGGCTCCAGGAGACAGTTGGTCGTTGCTGGAGGGGACGGGGTGCACGGTTCTTGTGGCCGTGCTAGGCTCAAAGAGCGGTTCCATGCACTCAGTGTGGAGCGGACTACGGTCCAGCCACCGCCTTGTGTGCGCTTGATTCCCCAAATACAGCGTGCTTGTGTTTGCCTGTGAAGGAGTGTGGGCCGGCTCCGTTGATGAAACGTGGTTCCCATCCGCATGCCTCCCGGTCTTATTCCTTCGGGTTTACACTGGATATGGGGTGTGTGGTTGGAGCTGTGGGTGGTGCAGCGCAAGCCATCCATGGTCCCTCTGTAGGCGCCGGCGTCCTGTGTCTGGCCACAGTGACAGGCAAATCCGAAACCGGATGCCGCCAACCATATATATATGTATATCCAACAGGCGGGAGAGACTATGGTGCGCTGAGGCCGGTGCTGGCTAGACCCTGACAGATGGTCCACCCACTGCTGTTAATGCTGTCCCATGGGCTCATCTCCTGGACGCCTTCTCGTGGCGACCGATAGGTAAGAGTCGGCTTACCACTTTCTTACTGCTAAGATCCAGGACACCAATCCGCATGAGTCAGCGAACTGACCATGTGCTAGACCCGCTGTCTTTCGGGTGTTCATTTAACCGAGAACTTTGGCTGAGGACCCGAGTCATACTCCTGTCAGATGTGAAGGCCCTGCCAGTATCCCAGTCCATCCCCTCCGGAGGTTAGGAAGTGGTCGATGGCCCTCTATAGTAAAGCCTAACCATCGGAGACAACAGGTCTACGGGTTATAAGCTCACAGCTAGATTGGGATAGAGCACGAGCGCCACGCATTGTCTCTGACAGTGGGAGGGCACCTCCGGGTGCTCAATGGTTTACTAATGCACGACTAAAGCCAGGCAGCCCCTGGTCAAATTGGTACAAACCCGCTAAAACCATGCTGCGTCCAACCGTGATCGTAGGTACGTACCCACCGACAGTCGCAAAACATATATGAGTCGATCCAGTACCTCAAAGGCTGCGTGTGACGGACCTCAAGCAGATACCAAATTGTTTGTGCAATCACATTTCCGAGCTGGATCTGCTCCCCACTGCCTTGTGGGGCAGGCTATTGAATCAAAGGTTCCAGGCTGAGTCCCCCAAACAAACTTCTAAAAAACCCACTGCCTTGTGGGGCAGGCTATTGAGCCAAAGGCTCCGGATGGAGTCCCGCAAGCAAACCTCCGAAGCACAACCGCCACCTCGCGTACGACTGCCCACCAACGCAATCGTATGCCTGCGTGCAAAGCACTCAGCATCGTGTACTGGAACGTGCGCACACTACTGGACCGGAACTCGAGTGAACGCCTCGAGCAACGCACTGCACTCATCGCGATGGAATTGGCGCGCTACCACATCGATATTGCGGCGCTCAGTGAAACCCGGCTCGCTGAGCAAGGTAAGTTGCATGAAGCAGGTGCTGGCTACACATTCTACTGGATGAGCAACGCCACCTCAGCACCACGTGAACATGGGGTCGGATTTGCAATATCCGATCGCCTCCATGGCCAGCTCGTCGGTGAACCAAC